AGGGAGGAGCTGCAGACGGAGGTTACGGAAGCGCTGGCGTCCTATCGAAAACACTGCTGCTCTGCTTCAGTGTCCGCGGGGCAGGTGAGAACATTGCGCACACATGTACGTCAATGCCGCTGTTTATGGTTTTATTATATTGCACGTAGTTGAATTGTTTTGAATCTTGCTGACCATCCGTACTGCACTGTGTGCGTCCTGTAGCTGGTTCTTCCTCAGTATCTGCGAGCTCTTCCTGTTTACATCAACAGCCTGATGAAGAGTGAATTGCTGCTGCCAGGCTTGAGGAGCTCCATCCATCAGCGCCTGCAGCGGCGTTGCCAGGTGCTGCGCATGGACACCTGCAGCACTGCCACACACTTCTACCCTCTGCTGCTGCCTCTGGTCAGTGCCATCAACACATGGGAGTTTGTCTTACATGTCTTTATTCTGTTAAATAAGGGTGTTGTTGATCAGAGTGACACTAATATGTCAGGATAAAGTTGCGATGAAGTAACTTCAAAATAGTGTCAGATGCTCATTCTGATGAAGCAGAGAGAAATGGTTAGAATTTATGCTCAAATATCGTGATGAGATATTCTAAAAGCAAGAAGAATTTATTCTTATGGTACAATAAGCATCACTAGCTGTATTAAAAATTACTTTATTTATTTTTAATTGTATCATTACAGTGATTTTTAAATATATATTTAAATGCAGTGAGGTTTCAGCAGAAAAACTGTCTGCACAGTTTAGTCCACACGTACCCGGGTACGCAGATTTTTCTATGCGTTTGCACCTTTCGTCCACACGTAAACGGCGTTTTTGGTCAATGAAAACGGAGATTTTAAAAACTCCAGCCAGGGTGGATATTTTTGAAAACATTTACGTGTGGACGAGAAAAACGGAGAAAACACAGCGTCAAAGGTGTGCGCATTTTTTGACGTCACAGTGTGCGCCACGTTATTGTTTCGGTGAAATGAATTTCTACAATACTGTTACTGTTAATTGTCTCTGCAGTGTTTAAATGCTTACATATACACACACAGTTACTGTCCCTCCACACATATGACTCGGTTCTGCTTCTATGCCCCAGCTTTGTTTACTTTTTCCCACCGAGGCTTCTAGACTTCTGATTGGCCAACATTTCTGCACGGTTAGGAATATATCGCCACCTGTTGCTTTGGCATGTTCCTAGCAGCGTGTGGACGGGATTATTTTTTAAAACGAAAAACGGAAAATCTCAGTTTTCAAAAATACCCGTGTACATGTGGACGTAGCCTTAAATTCTCATTCATAAAACGAAAGGAGAAAGAGAAAGGATTGATTTCCTGTTACATGTAGCAAACTATTGTCTATTTTAAGAACAGAGTGCAGTCACAGCCCGGCAGCACAGGCCACGGTGCTGATGAGTCATTGACAAACTAGTATTTCTCTAGCCCTGCATTAGTGGTGAACTTTGACCTCTTTTTCCATTGAACAAGTCAGCATAGAGATTGCGCTTAAAATAGCAACGCTATGTATTTAGTAAGTGATTGCTCCCTTTAAATAGTCACCATTAGCTTAGCCTTTGCACCATTGGACAGTTCCACTTGTGCCATTTTGAGCTTTGAAGACTTTTACTAAATTCAGCTTTTCACTCCTCCGTCACCTGCAGCCTTTATCAACTGACGGCTCCAACCCTCCGAAACCAGAGGAGGCACTGCGCTGCTCTGCAGCTAGCCTGGAGCCCAGAGGTCTTTATTTGGTTCATACACCCCTCACGCTGCTGCTATGGGTGGGCACCCAAGTCCCAGCATGCACGCTGGTTGAGCTCTTCAACACCAGCTGTTTTTCATCCCTGCCCTCTGGAGAGGTGAGGATTGAGGAAAGATATGGATGCATGGAAGAGATCATGTCAGATTTTAGTGGTATTTAAATTTTCTTTCTTTATGATGATAAATATATTTATTCCTTTACTGTAAATAAACTGTGATCACTATAATAACTGATTTACAGAGCAGAGCTTTGTTATTTTGATGGAAAGGGTCACAGAAGTCTAATCTAGTGTAATTTATGCTTTCATTTTTGATGTACTCATTAAAATGAGTCATATTTAATAACATTACATTTTCAAAAACAACTTAATTACAATAACATATACACAGAAAACACTATGCATTTATGAGGGCATGGAGATAAAAGAGAAGAGATACACCGTACGGTCGCTTCCCACGTCAACACCACATGAATCGGATGAATGATTTATTTTCTTCAGTTACAGCAGAGACTAAAGCGCTGCCTCGTCGTGCCTAAACAGGCAAACATGAACTAAAGGCACTGAAGCTGGCTGCTTATTTGAGTGAAATTAAATGTATCAAGGGAGGTTGCTGCAGAGGCAATGTTTTTTCAGTTTTACATCTTCACTGTTTTATTTCATTCTGACCGCTGAACCCTCGCTGAACCCCCTGCCCTCCTGGACACTAAAATTACCGTCAACATTTCAGCTAGTTTTATAGTTGGGCAATATTTCTCCCATGGAGGTGATCACAAGTCAAAAACCTCTGAGCGTGCAGCTTTCTAATCCTGCAACCACCTCACAGAGAGTGAAGAATGGGGTATCTGTTATAAGAGCACAGAGAAGATGAGTAGAGATGCACACTGTGTGGTCACTTTCCGGTGGAGCAGCACATAGAGCAGAGATTTTTTAGCCCATTGTGACCGTGGAGGCCATTAAAGCAAAGCAGCCACCGTGTTAAAAAATAAACTAAATGCACTTAAACTGGAAGCTCGTCTGATCATCAGAGATTACTCCAGAAACAAATGCCATTCAGTGTAACATGAATGCTTGTCTAACCAGAGCTCACAGCATAATCATCTGGGTTGGGATGCACGCTCAATAATCCGAGTAAAACCCAGGAAAGTTGATTCTGTTTATCTGCAGCGCTTTCACTCATCCGAGTGACTTTTTCAGTCTCAGCTGACTGCAGGTTTCACGGCCTTTTGAACAGTACAGCTGCATAACAACCGAGACTATCACCACTGACTAACAATGAGCCGTGAGCTCAGTCTCTTTAAACGTATACTTTCCCGTCAATTCAGAGTTATTGAATCACACGACAGAGAAAACAAGTCGAAAAACTCCACACACAAGGGCCCAGCTGTGACTTTAAATGTATGATTTAGTGTCTTTTCTGATAATTGAACTTGTTTGGACTCCACTAAAGAACCACCTAAGCTTCCTGATCCTGCGAGCTCGTTTCTTCTGGAGGAAATCCTGAAGCATGAGCATCGTCCACACCAGGGTGCAGCTGCTTCACTCTATAAAACTTAGTGGCCACAGATGCACTCCAGGACCTTGAGGGAGGATTCAGCAGTGTCATTTTGGATGTTAGGAGTAAGATAGACCACTGATGCTGCGAGCACTGTTTCTGACAGTCCTGCTTGTTTATTTAAAGGTGCAGTAGCTCACCATCAGTGTTAGTGAGCCTTTAGGTCATATTTCAACATTCAGTCAGTGGTGGAAAATATCCAGTTTGCATGACTGAATTAACAAACAGTAAGGTCATCATTCTGTAATCATTTTAATATGTGTGTGTGGGGGAGGGAGTTTAACTGTCCTACTGTTGAGTCAGTAGATTGCAGTAAACTGCACAATGACAATAAAAAGCTCTAAGTCTCTCTAGATGTTAGTCAAAAGTGGCCAGAGTAAAAAGAAAAAACACAAAATCCCATAAAATTGTTACATCTCAGCTCTTTTAGTAGAAAAAAGAAGGTAAAAAAAAAAGATTTTAAGTACATAAAGTGATGATTACTTTTGTTTGTAACAAAGTGCTATAAAAACACACCTATGAAAATGTCATCCACAAAGCAGTTTATGTGGAATGAGAAGTTCTTTTTTAAAAAAAATCTTTTTCAGGTGTTTCTTTTTAATTTTTGTTCCGTTTTTTCCTCCAGACCAAGCTGCCAGTTCTGGAAAACCATCTGTCCATCGGTATTCGATCCCTGATCAACACACTGAACTCAGGGACATCGTGCACCCGCAAGGTGAGCGGCTGTGTCGACTGCAGCCAAAGGCTGAGTTTATTTGTTTAGACAGCATCACCCCAGTATGATGACCTTATGTTACACATCTGCTGTCATCTCAGCGAGTTCAGTCCACATCTGTTCCCAGCTCTCATTTGAGCTATAAACCTGCACGCTGAGATACACTGCTTCTTTCAGGAATGGTGATGCCGTTTTGTACAGAATCAGTCAGTAGGCAACAGTTTTGTAGGGGCTTATTTATTATCTGGAACATAAACTCCTCTGGAGGAGGTGAGTTATGTATCAGCTGCGAGCTGAAATCTTGCAAGAAAGTTTCCCTGCAGAGCTCGATGCCTTCTTCACAGTAGCACCCTGTGATTTCAGGTCATAGACAGAGACGGGGTTAGCTGCAGAAACTCGTGTTTTGAGTCTTGGTGTGTATATGTAATGCAGCTGTGTACAGATTAGCACGACTTAAGACCGGAGACGCTTTCGAAAGCGTAACCTCCTGCGTATCGTTCTTTTTCAGCTGTGGGTGGTAAAGCAGGGCGACAGTTGCGAGGAGGCCCTGCAGCGCCACCTTGTGGAAGACAAGAGCCCCAATGGAGGCGCGTCCTACGCAGACTTCCTCTACCATCTCCACGTCAACTCTGTCCGCCTGCTGCAGTGACACACACACATATTTTCAGATGTGGATACAATGTCTTTGACACAAGACGAAACCACAGAGTATCCACCTCAAACACCAATCACAGGAGGAACAAAGCTCTCATACAGTAATGTAATCGAGTAATGAGGAAAGTCTATAGTCAGATATATAAGGAATGCATGGAGACATTTCAAATGATGCAATATTTGATCTGTTCAAGGACTGCTGTGATATTATTTATGTTTGTGTGACT